CTGGTCCAGCTAACGGCTCACACATTTGTGACCCTGTTGATGATGATGAAGCACAGAAGGGCTAGCACACACCATTCATTTTCTCCATATCACCTCAAAGGAGGCAGTTCAAACTGAAGTTAAGAAAATAAAGCTCATTTATAAAAGTTAAAAAAAAAGAATGTGAGACATGCCATCGAGCTGTAAGTGCTGGCTAGACACAGGCAGTGTGACAGGACCAGAAAGGTTAAGCTCTAAAGTGACGAACATAGCTCAGCCGTAAAGAAATAAAAAGCCCAAAGTTAAGCCATTTCCCTTCCTAATTACAAAGGAAGCAGAAAAAGCAGCAATTAAGGCATCTCCCTGAAGCTGACAGAGCACTCACCCTCAGTGTGTGACAAAGAGGGTTTCCCTAGTAATGAAGAATTAGGCTAAAGCAACAACTCTTGCTGTCAGTTCCACCCGTAAGCCCAAGGCAGCAATCCCACAAAGTGATCAGGCATGAGGGCCCTTGGTGTTGTTACAATGATCTGCTTGTTTTTCACTTGGAGGCCCCACTTCCGTCCTTGTTGTAACTCTCTCAACTCTACTTAATTTCCCCATTGAGGGAAAAGAGACTATTACAGATGTTTCTATAAAAGATTTGACAAGTAGCTTCCAATAGACTCTGAAGTTTTCATTTACTTGCTAGCTGATACATCCTTCCTAGTTTTAGATTACAGGATGGAAAGGAAGCAGAGATTGCTGTCTGAGTGCTGCCATATTCTGCTTGTCCAAAAATTGGACGTGGGAACCAAGCTGAAGGACAGTTCTCCCTGCTGAGGAAGCCAAGCCTCATCAGCATCCTCACTGAGGCAACACTGGCTTGGACCAAATTGTTAATATTCTAAGTGCTCAATTACAGAGGCTATTTAAACAGACTTCAGCTGGCAGACTCAGCCAAAGTACAGCCAGCTTGATGCAGGCAGGATCTGATCAACTAGAGAAAGGAGACACTGCAGTACTGATGGTGCCATAAACTTTTTTTTAACATTTATTCCCTCTCACTTGGAGGGGCATCCTACCACATGGCAACAAGGTGCCAGAGAAAGCCACTGAGCCCCAGTTTGAAGCCAGCTGTGCCCACAGCAGCAAGCAGGGCAGTCAGAGCACTGGGAGGGAGCGAGCAGTGAGGTTTTTTTGTTACCATTTCAGAAAGGGGAGGCCAGCAGTGCTCCTGCTAGTGCACACTGAAAGCAGCAAGCATCAGGGCTTAGCTGCCTACAAGGTAGGTGGCAGAGATCCATGAAAGCAAATGTGATGCAGCATCTCTTCTGCTGGATCTGAGCCCACCATTAGCAAGGAGAACCCTCTCAGTAATTGAGAAGCACTCCAACTCATTGTGCAAAAGCTGTGGAAGTCCACACAAACTCCTTACTGCCACCGAACACCAGGTCCCAGATGTTTGCTTCAGCTTCATGACTGGAGATTTGACAACTTGGCATGAAACCAGCCAAGAAAGAGGGCAAGATCATCTTACTCCAGGAGTCTGGAACTTGCTCTAGCCAGCAAGGGGAGAGTGTGTGTGCATGGGGGGGCGGGGGACATCTTTGGGGAGAAACATACTTCAGCCGGTTTTACAAGCCACATCAGGATTAGCAGATGTCTCAAGGGTTAATTAGTTCACCATGCACAGATGGTAGCTGGTAGGATTTACAGAGTGGATTAACCTAATTTGTGGTTTGTAATGTACCATGCAAATATCCATTACTAGACTTGCAGCAATTCTGCCCTTATTTTGATTTGAGGAGAGAAAACCACACAATGGATGCTTGCACAGAAGTAATGCCTATTTTGAGTGACAAATGAGTTGCTGTTCACTTGGTTAATGCGTTCAACAAATTGGAGCCTGAAAAATAATTCCTTCCCTTTTTGCTGTAGAGGGTCTTTGGAGAGACCTAGATGAGACCATTTGTTGCGAGTGTAGAGAATATGACCACAGTAACCATTCCTTACAGTTGTACTGAGGTCTCTTCGGTACCGACAGATGGTCATACAGCAACAATTCAATTGCCTGGAAATAGGAAGGCAGCTTTCTGAAGGCAGCGCTGCAGCGTGTCAAGTAAAGCCCCACAAATCCAAGGTAGCAGCACATGTGGCAATTCAGGCCACAGCAAACACCCCTGCCCACGCAGTGCTTCAGTGAAGCTCCAGGTCTCTGAGCTGACTGCAGGTTACAGCGTTTTAATAGGATCATATCCAAGTAAAGGGCTGCGTGTTTACATAGCACTTTGCACAAGAGGAAGCCTGGCTCAGGGCTGGCATGCAGAGATGCCCCAGATTGGTGCAAGACTTCCTTCTGTTTAGCTAAGAATGTGCCACGCTATTGCATTTGGTTCAGAAGGTCTCAAATGTTTACAACCAGTATCAGCTGCAGTAACAAATGTTTCCATAACTCCTATTAAACTCTGAACTTACCCAATTTCTCCCTGCTCTAAGGGGCGAGCACAGGACTAGCTAGACATGCACTCCAGCAAGGCGGAGGTCAAAGTAGAGGTGACATTGGCTGTCTGAGGCATTCCCCAAATGTTTCTGCAATCAGCCACGCTCATGTTGTGCCTGCACATGCCTGAGCCACAGCAGCTGTGGGATTACTGCCAGACAGTGCGGGACAGCTGTGCTCACACCCAAAAGCCTCCTCCCAGCACATCTTTGGTCAAGACAGAAGATGCACTTGTAGGTTTGATTTTTTTTGGGAGGTGCTTGCATTTAAAAGTGCCTATTTGTCTCCTGTTTAAAGACACTGCAATGTCTGCATCTATGGAGGAAACTACGTTTCAAAGCTATTTGTTATCCTAAAAGACTCACAGCACACCCTGGAAATCTGTGCTTATTTACCCCATCACTTGTTCAAGTGTCATAAAGCCAGTCTTTGTTAGAGGCTGTAACTACCAACTCCCTTGGCATATTCTTTCGCGCATTGTGTGCACGCTCTGACAACATCCAGCTCCAAACAGAAGGACGCATTCCTCTGCCACTCTAAAATGGGGCAAGATGGCTGAGAACAGACTCCCTTTATGCAGCTCACTTTGGTCAGAGAGCTGCTTCACATTCCCCTTCATACAGGGTTAAGTGGAGTAAGAGCGTCCCTAAACCCCTGCTTCCAGCCCCTAGCTGTGGCAGCAGAGAAGAGGAAACTGTCCCAGAAGGAGACCTGGCAGCACGTGGAGGTGGGACAGCCAAGGGAGGCAGCCTGACCTGAGCATCCATCCCTTGCAGGGATGAATGAGCATGTCACTTGGGATGCTGCCATCTCATAGTCTGACTCAACTGAATCTCTCTTCCCCCAATATCACAGCAGATCAGCTCCAAATTCCCTCAAGAGCTGCAGGAATAGAAGAGGAGCAGTTTCTCACATTCCCAAAACAATTTGTCACATCTCTTGCAAGAGTATTGCATCTCCTATGCGCATCAACTGCTGCACTGAGCCCAAAGATCTCCTGGTTTCCTAATGCTGTTCTAGGTCAGTGCTAAATCAGGTTGCCTCAGAGACTTCAGCAACCTTTTTCAAAGGTCTTTTCACGTCCCAAAAGCCCCCTATGACCAGGATGTGGCACTGAGCCAGGAGCTCCCACACTCAGCTCTGCCTTCTACCAAGTCACTTGGACCTTTATGGTCAGTCCCCCTAAAGAAAAGTGCTGCTGCCAATTTAATTCACAGGCTGTTGTGAACAAACACTTCACTTAATATTACATTTAGGAGGTCCCAGAAGTGCAACCAAGACAGAAGCTTTGCAGGAGATTAGGAAGGTGAAGTGTGCCCTAGTTTATCATGTCAGGCCAGCACCTTGTACCACACTTGCTTCTTCATTACCACAGCCACCCTCCGGGACATTCAGGTGACGGGCACCAAACGTATTAGCCTGCAAAGGCAACAGCCATTTGATGCACAGACATCAGGGTCAAGCAACAGTTTTGCTTTAGTGCATCACTTAGCTTATTACAGGACTGCACCTTAAAAGGTCTCACAATTAACGAGCAAATCAATCTAAGCAGTGACATTAATTGGAGTTCAGTATATTACATTCCTCTTCCCTTCTTTCCCAGAGATGAAGCTATGGCAGTGTTTCTTCATCATCTTAAAAAGCAAAAAGAAAAAATCCCCTGCACACAGGCCAGAGTTTTCCAGGACTTGCTATTCATTTGAAAGGCCTCTCTTTGGATGACCTGAATGCAATTTGGAGCACCCGAGACTCCAAACAAAGTCAATGAGAGTTGCAGGTGCTCAATGCTGCTTGGGGAGGAAAGAAAGAAAAAAAAAAGAAGAAAATAAGAGAGCCCTGACACATCCAGCTCAAAGCAGCCAAATCCAGAGGCCCATCATTACATGTCCCTGCTGAAAACACATCTGTAAAAATCACTAAGAGCTACAAGGGGAGGGGAAAAATTGGACTTATATAGTTTCAAATCAGAGTTTTATAGGACATTTGAATCCAGAATCTTGAAAACAAAACACTGAGCTAGAGCCTTTGAGTCAGCCCAAACTCAGACACAGACACCGAAAACATTTCACATCAGAAGCTTCACTAGACCCTTTTGGAAAGGCAAAAATAAGATTCAGACCAGGGCAGAAAAGCATTCTATTACCTTGCCCCCCTCCAGAGAAGAACCCCAACTCTTAGGCTGCATTTTGTCTCTGCTCAGGTAAAGACTGACTTAAGAAAAAAAAAAAATAAAAGAGAGAAATTTAATACAATTATCCTCTCAGACTGGAAAAGAAGCTATATAAACACAGTCAGAGGACAGCAGTCATTTTAGCTGCAATACTATATAAGGTGGGTTTCTTCTCTCCAGTGCAAAGGGGAAAAAACCTGATGCCTGTCTCTAGCAGGCTTCAGCAATAAAAAGTTAAACCACTACACAATTTCATGCAAGACAAGATAAAGGTAAGGTTTTAAAAAAGGGGGGGGGGAAGGGGGGAGTAAAAGGGAAAGGAAGGTCCTCTCTATAATCATGCAGTACATAGAAAGCCTGTTATCTTACCTGATTTTCTCTTTGAAGATCCATAATCCCTGAAAAAAAGACAACAACAAATAGACATGGTTAGAGCTGGAAACGGTGGTAAGAGAAGGGGTGCCTCCCAAATTTCCACCCATATGCTCAAGGGCTCATCAGCTTGCGTGGTCCCTCCTTTAAAGAGGAGGTGAGGGCTGCAAGGCATGGACAGGCAGGGCTGGGACGGGTCCGGGTCCGGGGCAGCACCGGCTCATCATCAGCAGCAGCTGGGGCTTCTGCAGCATCGGGGGCTCGGGGAGCATGTGATCAACCAGCCAGAGCAAACCATCCACAACCAGCAAGGCAGGGGAGAAGAGTGTCATTTTTTCCCCTTTAAATTGAGCTATTAAATGCACAGCTACTGAATTAACCCCTGATGTTCCCCTGGAGAGGAAAGGGAATATTAACTGTTTGCTGCAGGGGTGCAGCTACTACAGGCTTATCTGGTATTGCTTGCAGTCCTCTCCTTTCAGAGGCTAATTAATTTGTGAATAACCTCCAAACCCCTCCTAGTTATCTCTGACAAGCACTTGTCTTCCGCAAGGGAAAAAAACCCAAACAAACCCCCAAATTTGTCCTTTCTTCTTTCTTGCAGGATGTGGAATGCACCCTTACTTTTCTGTGGTGATTTAAAGGGTGCTGGCACCTTTGCTTGTGGTGGAGCAGCTGAAAGCTCAGACAGCTGCTACAGAAGTGGGAAGAAATTACAGAAGGGAGCTGCGAGAACTGATTTGGGATAAGCAGAACCAAGGACAGAAATACTTCACTATGTCTGTGCTTCCTCCTGGTGCTCTCGGGAGCCTCTCAGACCCAGCTCGACAGATCGGGCAGAGACAGCATCACTGTGCGGGCACAACACCCGTGGCATGGTCACACACCCCACCCGGCAGAGTTAACGTGGGGAAAATCACCTGATGAACCTGCTGTGGAGGCAGGCTGTGTTTGCAGGAATCCCACCGAAGGGGCAGGCAGCAGCCTCTAAATTTTAGGGGGCCAGGCTGTCAGGGGTAGGGTTTTGTCCCTTGCAGCACGCTGTGTGCTCCGGAAGAATCAGAGAAGGATTATCCCGAAGTATGTATTTAATTTCGAGAGACTTTGGGGGATCATCTGAAGAAACGACACATGTCTTGAGGGCAGAGGTATGTCTACCAATAAATTCTGTTTCTGCCAGCTCTTTGCATGCATCCCATGCCTTACATGTCTAGGATTTCCTTCCAGCGAGTAATAACTATTTGGGAGTGTTTTGCACCCTCTTTGAATTTGCCAGTGTCATGTCTGTTTCAATGAAATGGTTGTTTTCTCAGCCATGTCTGCAGTTGTATTCAATGTGAAGATGCTACTGCTCATGAATAGGCTGCTTCTTCTACAGAAGTGATATCATATGCAAATATAATGCGTGCTATATGGTGCCCGAAACAGAGACCCCTCAGAATGAGCCAGGGAAGGCACAATCCCTGAAATGTACTCTGCTGCCCCAGCTCCGCTCCCACGCCAGCCTGGAGCTTTGCGGTTGCTGTCAATACAGCTCTCTTGGCATGTGAAAGTCTGTGTTTGGTCCTGCTCTGAACTGTCTCTCTTCTGACAGCACTAAACATCAAGAAGGTGAAACCCTGCTGAGATCCACACCTGTGATTTGCTTTAACCTAGTATCTCCATCGTGCACATGCTTCAATACCTTCTGCCTGTCCTGGCTTTTTGCAGCAAAACTCTTGGACCTTCTCAGCCCTACAGCTTTGAGCAGGGTTCAGCTGGGATTTCCCTCTGCAGCACATTGTGCCCCCACCTCCCCACCTCTCTCCGTGTTGCACAAAAAGGTTGTACACAGCCCTTGCAAATATTAGCACCCATGAGGACGCTGGGAGGACAATGTAGCTGGGCACAATCCCTAGATGATAAACAAGACTGTCCTTCCAAGTCTTGCCAGAAGGCCCTCAGCATACATTTCCAAGGCAATCTCCTGCCAGCCAGCAGTGCTGGGGGCACCTCACAAGCATCCTAAGAGACATTATAGATGAACAGAGCATGCACAGAAGGGTGAAGGCAAGCAGCATTTAGACAGACATGAAACAGCCTTCAGCCTGATTGAAGTCTCAGAAAAACCCCACCCTAACTCCTTTTTGACACTAAAAAATAAAAAAAAAATCACCCAATTTACCCAATTGGAAATGGGGTATGGATAGACTGATATGTTAATAAGCAACCAAAAATGGATAAAGATGTTGCTGAACATCTTTGCTCACCAGATCAGGCCAAAATTGGTACCCAGGTTTGGAAAGTACTGTGAAGGAAGATGGTTTTGCTGTGATCTTGCTGGGTACCAATGGTGAATGCCACAATGCTCAGAATTCACACCTCCATCCTGGATGTTCTCCTACATCTTTCAGCTCAGTCTCTAGCTGGTTTTAGGGTTTGTGTGACTGACTGCAGTAAGGTTTTAAACGAAGCTTGTTCTTTTAATTCTAAAGCATGACTCATCCATGCAATTTAAAGAAGGTAGAGATTGAAAAAAAGCAAAAATTTGAAACTGTTTTTTTCTTCTACACACAGATCATGGGATGACAAGAGATATTACTTCATAAAGAACTTTTTCACTCTTTTTTTCTTCCTCTTCAGTTCCTCACCTGGCTGGCATTTCTTCCACAGCAAACCCAGATCCTTTATGGCAGTGTCCTTGCCCTTAAGTTGCCTCACACAAGCCCTGCACTGGGCAGACAGGTCCCACATCATCACACCACTAATGCAAGCACAGAGTGCTGTACTCAATACGATGTGGCAAGCCACATTTCTGGTCAACGGCAAGCATGGTGCCAACAGAGACAGTAACTGTTCATGTAGGCCAGGAGCTCTGGTCCAGGAAACCCCACCATGGCTTCTCTCGTGGCTTGTGCATGGTGAAAAATAACCTTGAGAACAGTTTCAAGAGGGAAAAAGCCCCTCACTGTCCCTGCAAAGCGCACAGCTGAGTGATTTAGGGTCAGCTACAAGAGGATGAAGCAGCAAGTAGCTCTCAGTGATGTCCCTTTGAGATTTAGGACAGTAGCTAGCACCATCAGAGGATCCAGAGTGTATTCAAACTCTTGAAAGCCCAACTCTGCTTCACTCTCCTCTTGGTGCATGAGGCTTATAACCGCATCATGCCACTGTCTCTGCCCAGGCTGCCATGGGAAACACCAGCATGAAGGGACACACAAGACACCTTTCTCACTTGCTGCCCCGTGCTCAACCAGCACACACTGGTCCTCCAGTCTGGGTTTTCTCCTGCACCCCCATCTCCCGGTATTCCCATACTACACCCAGGATGTCTCCCCAGGTCCTGGGTACCACAGCATTTTATTCTTTTAAAATATCCTTCTCAAAATGCAAATGAAGACCAAAATTAAGTGGAATCCTCACTTGATTAGGTGCTTCGCAAAAAGAAAGGACTGCTGCCCCAAATTTATAAAGAAAAACATATGATGGGAGACAGGTATATTACACACTTCACTAAAACGGAGCTGTATCAAAAGAAGGCAACTTCTGGTCTTAGTTTCCCATCTTAAGCGCAAGATCATCCTGCCAGAAAAAATTAAATGACATTACAAAATATTTATTTGAATCACCACCACCTCTCAACTCACGAGGCTCACTCAAAAAAACCCCCAAAACAAAACCAAAAAACCCCAAATGATCAATCAATCAATCTGTTGGGCAGGCTTTCATATTTTCTTTTATTCTTTCTGTAACTTTTAAAGCCAAGTCTTATTGGATTCTGATTTTGGAGTTCCTGAAGTCCATGTATCCTATGTGTCCCCGTCTTGTTGCTTTTCAGTACATCCACATTTCACTCATAAGATCAGGACAAAGCAGTATCAAACAAAATTTAGCTTGAAATAAAATCCTCATCTCCCCAGAGAAAGTCTGAAAGACAAAACTTCTTCCTCTCAGTGAGGACAGGAAAAAACACATTGCTGAAATAGAAAGCAAAGATATAGCAAATAATCTCTCTGGCTGGGTCAAGTGCTCTTTGTATGCGTATTCTTCTCTTTTCTGCTAATGAAGAAAGCCTGCGCTGCTGCTTTGCAATAGCAGCAGCAAGGAGATGTGCCTGACTCCATATTTATTTTTTATGTCTCATTATTTCACATGTGATTCATTGATGTCTTTCCCCTCTTCCAACTGACGATCTGTAAGGTGACTACTTCTTAGCCCCACAATTTTCAGAGAACCATTAGTGTGAGGCTGAGGTATTGGATTATGTCTCCAAGATAATAAAGGAAATTATTTAATGGTTTCTCTTAACTGTAACAACTTCAATGTAGAAACTCAGATCTTCTCCTGCAATACAGACTGCACCTGGCACAGTGCTAGCCCTTAAATCAGACAAGAAATCTGGCCTTGCAGAAGAAAAACCCTTCCAAGGAAAGGTAAGATGAATGTCACAGCTGCAGCTACACAGGGAAGCTGACTTTCTCTTCAGCTCTTTTTCTTTTTATCTTTATACACATACACACGTATTTCCATGCTTCTTCCATTTCTGTATGAGAATAGACACCACCATCCTAATTTCCCTTCCAGCCACAGCTATGAGAATAGCAGTGAAACCAGTGTGTAGAACTAAAAATATCTCTGGCAGGTCCCTTCTTCATTAGCCAGGATCACTCCATACTTCAACAAACGCCTTTCACAAAAATAGCTTATTTCTAGCCTTTTTTTGTATCAGAATATAGCAATTTTGTTTAAAGTCTTCCTGTGGGGAAGCACCTTTAGCTGACACTGAACCTCATTACTGGCAAGGAAAGTATTTCCTGCTGCTAATGATATTAAAATATTGCTGGTGCCAAGCACATCACACAAGGTGGACACACTCTTCTTGTGGAAGGAGGGGGAGGCTGGATCTTCTTTCTCATCAGCATTATACCAGGATAACATTACTCATTTGACTTCTATCAATGAATGTGAAAGGAAGACCGTGAGCATTGCTATGGAGCTGATGGCCCTGTTATCACATTAAGCTATCCACAATCAATCTGGAAATTAG